CGAAGCCTAGAAATGCACCAAAGGAAGGGCCTCGCGACAAAAGGCGCGCATCAGGCGGAAGGAGTAGGGCTCACACAAAAAACTCGCGCGTTTGTTAAAACCAAATGCCGGCACGCCTTCGATGCCGCATCGGGACCTTTCTTCGCCACAGGCCCAGCCTAAGCCCAGCCTACACCCTGCCTAAACCCGAAACCTATAGAACTTCATAGCAGGGAACTTCAAGGGCTTTGGGCGTTGTGACTTTAAAAGGGGGTGCCTTATGAGTCTTGTTGCAACGGACCATACGGACCTTGCGAGCGCTGAGTCCTCAGGCGCGTGCAGAACGCAGGGAGTACTGACAGCTCTCGCAGCTCTCGCATGGCCTCTGTGAACCTCGCAGGATGATCGGGTCAGGGTCGCGGGAGTGGGGCGGCAGGCGACCCCGAAGAGTATGGGAGGATGCTCTGTTTTTGTTGGGCCGATATTTGTGTCGAGACGGCTGATGAGTAACAATGGTAAATGGCTTGGCTCAACCAGCAACTGGGCAGGGCGTCTTATCGCAATTGACATGCAGCTGAGCTCATGTTAGACACTGCAAGTCGGTGCTGTGCCCAGTCTAGTCTGGCTAATTGGCTACAGATCATGTGGCACATGCAAGCCCCTGCGTGAGAAAAGCTGGGAGGCTGCAACGGAGTGCAGAGACTCCGGGAAAGACCGTGGGAAAGGTGTGGAAGGGGCCAGGAGCGGCAAGCAAACTCGAATCCAAGCAAGGGCCCAGGCGACTTGCACTCAGCGGCTTGATGGCTGGCACGGGTGACACGGTGCGAAGCACTTGCTTAAGTGTGGAGCGGCAGCTGCCTGCCACAGCATAGGCCAACAAAGGCAGCTGCATAGGCAACAGCATATGCCAACGCTGCAGGCTCTGAGCTTGCGGCTCCGAAGGCACGCCAGCGGCGCGGACAGCAGTGGTAACGAGGCGAGGGTTCTTGGCCAAGAACTGGGAGAACTCAGTTCAACTCAGTTCAACTCTGCCTCAAGTCTCAAGTCTCAGCTCCGTTCTCAGTCGCAGCTCCACAGCTCCAGCTGGGCAGAGCACACGAGCACTGACCCTTTCGACACACCTGAGAGCCCTCCGAGAAGAGCCCCGAGAGAAGGCTTCGCCAAGATCCGCGCGACGTAACGCGAGCCGCGGCAAAGAGGTGAACCCGTGACACGAGAAACCTCGACTCCCAAGCGCTTAGGAAACAGGCACTAAGAGAAAAGCCCGCGTCAGCAAGCTTGAGTCTAAAAGGCCCCACAGCCCAACACCATGTGCTGCGTTCTCACAGATCTCACAGATCTCAGCACCTTTGACTCACAAACCCCCTGAAAGCACCGGTCTGAAAACCTTCGTTACAGGTGCCGGCCTCTTCAACAAGACACGCCCTTTCCCTTGTGGTGATTGCAAACTGCAAGCCCTGGTTAATGGCAACCGCCTGGAACACCAGGAGATTCGAAGTCGTGGGGCCCTGCGGAGGGGGCCGGGGCAGGGGGAGGGGGTGGGGGGGGTGGGCGGAGGGCGGGGGCCCGGGGCAATCCCGACCGTGGGGTTATGGATCAGCAAAGCACTTGGGCCGAGAAAAGTGCCTGTCAGTGGCTGCTGTAATTCAGCCGGCATCTGTGCAGTTTGCGGGCCAGAAGAGGCGCAAATGGGGAGAATCGTTTATGCACACGCGTCTCAGAGCTTCTTACGAGCTCTTTGCTACTTGGACAAGGACCCCTGAACCCTTTAAAGCACAGTCAGAGTGCTTGGGATGGACCTCTTTGCCATCTTTGCGCCATGCCTGGGCTTGAGAAGTGCTCGGCACTGTGTCTGGAAGCCAAAACTTTGGCTCGCACGCGCTTGGGATGCGGTGGCTGCGGTGGCTTCTTTGCATGTGAGCGCCAACAGGGGCTCTGGAACCATCAACGCGGGAGCCAGCAGAGCATTCTCAGGGCCGATTTAGAAACAGCCCGAAACGGGCTGGGAACTGCTTCGAACCGTCGGAACTATTTAAGTTTATAGAGTGCCTATGGCCACTGTAGGCTTCAAAATTCGAGGCCGAATGGGTCTTGAGATCAATGCGACGGTTCTTGAGACCAGGAAACGCAAGGACAGACCCCTTGCGCTACACAAAGCGCCGGGAAGCCGCGAGGGTCGAACTTCCGGTTGTCTGGAGCCGCGCATTGCGAGAGCGCACCCTGAAACACGGGCGTTTTAATGGGTCGAGGATGTCAAGGACTAAGCAATGTCTCGCTAGACCGCGCTTTTGCACTTTTGCATAGCGGGAGAAAGGACTGTTCCGGGTTAGTGGCTTTCAGGATATGCGAGGGCTGCATGCGCTGTTAGTGATTTTTCAACTCGCCGTTGTTAGGAGCCTTGTTTCGAGCTTATCTCCGTGGATAAGAACTTCAGCGGCCTCACCAAGAGCTGTGCACGAGAGAGTGCAAGCCCCTCAGCACGAGCACAAGCTCTTGGCAGATGAAACTTGAAGGACGAACCTAAACAAATGAGGTGGGAGGCCATCACCGGCATGTGGAGGCCCTGAATCCAACTGACTACAGGGGAGAACCACCGGGCCCCAGCCCCGCAACAGCCCCGGTAAGAGCCCCTTTCCTCTGCACTAGTCGAGCCCCGGCACAATCGCGCCAACCGCAATTCTGGATGTCAGAATGTCATGAAATTCTGCCTCCTGACCTCCTAATCCAGGAATGGGTTTCTGACCCTTCCCTTGGCAGCGAAGAATTCATTCCGCGCACAAGCCTCCGATGCCTCTCTGGCAAACTTGCGGTGATGGTGTGCGGAACGCATGGAGCACTTCAGTAGCAATTTGGAAGCGCCCGGAGCTGTGCATAGAATGGCTTGAAGTCCACCGTCTATAAGCGTCAGTCTAAGCCTCCCAGCCCGCACGGGCTCCCCACCATTTCAAGTGTCTGAGGTTGTCTGAGGCAATCGGTGCGAAGTCGAAGCCAGTGAGTGAGCTCTCGAATGCAGGATGTCACACAGAGAGGAACCAGACGGCAGGCACAGCCCATGAATATGCGTCTCAGCCCCGGCGAGGCTTCGTGACAAGAATGCCCTCCGTCTCCTCGATCTTGATTGCCTCGGATCAGAGATCGTTGCCGGTGAAGGGAGCGACATGTGCCTCATGTGTGCAGGCTGGGGGTGAATGCAAGGAGGCAAGGCTAAGGCAGCAGGCCTCATCAGGCCTCAAACCGCACGGAAGCAACTGGAAACTGCATTTGCTGCTGCAGCGCTGGTCGGCTGAGCGTCTACTGCATGGGGGAATCACCTTGCCCGGTGGCGCCTTCAAGTCATAACCCTGACCGAGCAGGGTCGGCAAAAGTTTGAGGGCCCGCATGCGATCAACTTCGCACGTCGCACTGTAAGGCTTTTGTTGCACAACAGGCTTGCGCTTCTACAAGCCGGGAAGAGGAAGTCATCGTGCGACACGGTGGCAGAGACTATGCCACTAGGGCTTGGCCGGGCTTGGCATCAAGCACCGAGCCTAGAGCACACCTCGTGGAGAGCGGCCCAGTAGGTCCGCTGCCACAGGGCATGGGGACAAGTTCAAGCTGGGTTTTTGCGGGCCTTCGACGGACGCATCCTACCTGCGCTCTGCCACCCTCCTGCGCGGGCTCCGCCTGACTGCGGGAGGATGCGCTGGCCCGAGCAAGACTGTCAGGTCCGACAGAAACAGCAGGCTCTCGTGCACACGAAGGCAGAGGATTGCGCGGCTCAACTGAAGGGAAAGCTGGGCGCACGTGAGCGGTTCCATGCTAGAACCGTGCAGCAACTGCGCTTGGCTCAAAACCCCCCCCAAAGTGCGGGGCTGACCTGCTCTCGAATCTCTCGAGTGCCCGACATCTGAAAGGGCTCTGGACAGGTCCTGGACTCACTTGGGCCGCAAAGTGCCAGGAGCAGCAACAGCAACAGCAAGGGCCACGTTTAGTTGTCGCAACTTAAGGCTGAAGAAGCTCCACGCAGCTGCACGCCCCCGGGTTCTGGAAGCTTCTGCAGCCCAGCTTGCAGGCTAGTGATCCGCCTGATGATGCGCCTGGCCCCCTAAGGGGCCCTCTAAGGGCTGCCAAGCACAACGTCACCGCGCAGGCCGAGCCGCATGGACATCACCTTCTGCGCCAAGCTGCTGCCTTGCAAAAGGGTTTGGGGTTTAGGGTTTAGGGTTTAGGGTTTAAGAGTTTCTGGGTCTTAAGATTGGTGTAAGAATTGTCCAGAACGAGAGGTTTTTTGGGTTTGAGGAGGACTTGGGGAGTCTTTTTTCTTTCCACTCTTTCTGCTCATGTTTGTGCTCTTCGAGGGGCGCAGGTCTTCAGGATTCGCAGATAGTCTCAACAACAAGCCCTTAGACCAGAGCCTGAAACCTACGGATGATATACGTCCGCAGATGAGAAGTCCGCACATCGGAAGTTGCAGGCTTACTAACCTTCCAGGATGGATTTTTGCTTGCCAGGTTGTACTTGGGGTTGCTGGACTCAGTACGGAAAACTCCAAAGAGATGTGCTTTGCTCGGTTTGGGGGCAGGGTCCGAGCTGTGGGGAGCAGCTGAAGCTTCCTAGGGTTTGGGGTTTAGGGTTTAGGGTTTAGGGTTTAGGGTTTAGGGTTTAGGGTTTCGGGCTCAATCCTGCACCTCCTCTTTCCTTCACAGGACCAGCAGTCCAACCACCAGCAGAATATGAAAGAAACCCGAAGACCAGAGCAACCTACGGGGGTTTACGAAAAATAGGGGGGCCCCTAAAATGGAACCCCAAATCAAGAGATTCCCTTGTAATCAGGACCGCAACAAGGTACCCCTAATTTCAGAAAAGCCCCATATTGTTTCCTCCAGCCGTTCAATGGCTAGCGGGCCGGTGAACGAAGCACTTGCAGATAAAGCTTCGTTCAGGCTTCGTTCGATTCTAGGAAGGGGCCTGTGCATCTCTGAGCTGGTCAGTTGCCAGCGCCGGAAACTCAAAGTCCCCCAGAGAGGCGTTGCATGAGCACACTACAAGTACAGGATTCCAGGTGGAAGGAGCTTCAGGAGGTCCTTCCACTTCCCGATGAAGCTCATCTTCAGCGCGGGCAAGGCCTCTAAGCCTCTGTCGCTGATCGCCACCATGGGCCCTGCTTGCGGATGCGTGTAGATCGTCTGGCGGATCCTGAAACGCAGGCCGAAGTTCCGCCAAATCTCGTGAAGCTCTGACACTCTCGGGTTGTGGATTTGCAGAAGTTGGTGGGCTGCGAGGATTGGAGTCCACCACTCCCCAGAAGGGATGGCGAGCATCGCATAGCTGCAGTTCTGACTCCACCGGGCATCTGTGGCAAGGACGTCGGCCTCCAGAGGCTTGTGGAAGAGAGAGGGAAACGCCTTCTTCAAGGCCTTGCGCACCCATGTCCCGAAGAGCTGAATCGACTGCTGGAGCAAGAGGTCGTTCATGTCTTCCGCGTTGCTGCGAGCCCGGAGCTGCATCACAGTGCTTCGGCACTTCCGCGAGGCGTCAATCCAGCTCTTGCCACTGAGGCAGCCCATCCCGAAAGCACTGAAAGGCAAGTTCAGGGGGCTGAGCTGCTCCGCCTCGAACTCCTGGCTTGCGGCCTCCTCCGTTTCCTCCTCGCCCTTGGGACTTACCCCCGATGAGAAAAAGAGAAGGAGACGACACAAAGAACAAAACCGGAAAGCCATTTAAAAAGGGAGCGAGGACGAGAGAACGAAAGTCATGCGAAGTTTTTTTGGCGTATGTGTAGGCGTTCGCTGCAAATAGCCCTTGGGCCCCCTAGGCCGATGCCTGATCGTTCATGTCCATGTTCACGTCGAGGAGGAAGACAGGTCCCCAGCCTCGGGGCTTCTCCGGCAAGTCTGGGGAAGGGAGGAAGCCGGTGACATTCACGTCCATGTTCAGGTCCTCCTCCACCGCCATCTTCAGGAGGCTCTGCCGGGACTTCTCAAAGTCGTCCGACAAGCCCAGGTCCCGGAGCCCATCGAAGACCCCGTTCACGAAGTCTGTGAGGCCTCAAAGGAAGGGGGGGGAGGGCTTTTTTCTCGGAATCTTCAGGCCCACCCACCCCCAAACCAGCCCTCTGCAAACGGCTGCTTCAACCCTAAACCCTAAACCCCAAACCCTAAACCCTCTACACCACACCCTATCCCCCACAGAAGGGGTGTGCCTCGGCGGGTGGTCTCCAAGGCAAGGTCCCTGGTGGCCACCCAGAGGGCGATGGCGGGATCCCTCGGCTCCCCTTTCGCCTGAAAGTGCGCATGCACCACCAGCTCGGCGACGAAGCCGTGCTCCTTTTTTTACGGCGGGGTAGGTGGGGGTTCAGGGGGTAGGAGGTCGCTTTCCTTATTCCGAAATCCTCTCGTCTCTTCCCTGACCACGGTTCACACGGAGCGGAGCGTTTTTCCACGAAGCAACTCTGAAGTTTCTTTGGAGCAGAAGAGACGCCGGCATTTCTTGCGGCCATCCGCAGAACTGGACGACCTTTCTCGGTGTTTCAACAATTGACGAAGAAAGGCCATGAACAACAGAAACTAGAGCCGAAACCAGGAGGTACAGGACGCTATGTAAACTCAGATTGCCGTCTGATTAGGATACGTGGGTATTTAAATGTGCAAACGAGCAAGTCTAAAACATGCTTGCAAAGTGCATGCGTGCGTGCGTGCATGCGTGTGTGCGTGTGCGCATGCGTGCGTGCGTGCGTGCGTGTGTGCGTGTGCGCGCGTGTGCGCGAGTGCACGTGTTACTCTTCCACTCTCTGCAAGACTTCAAGGCATGTTCGCGGGCCGGCTCTCTACATATCCTTGGCCGCATATGAGCGCGTGGAAACCAATCGCGCAGCTGGGCACAGCTCGGGGGAAGTAATGGAAAGCACACTTCATGATTCCCAAAACATCCTAACAATTCCCAACACCTCAAATCCTGAACCCGAACGGTCTCTGACGCCCAAACCCACAACCCCAAGCCCTGAACCCTAAACCCTAAACCCTGTATAAACCCTAAACCCTATATATAAACCCTAAAACCCCATATATAAACCCTAAACCCTCAAACCCTAAAAGCCTAGAACCCCCTGGTCCTCGCTCCCGATCATGGCCAGAAGCTCGGACGGCATGGCTTCGTTTGCAAAGTTCACCACAAAGCGGAAGATCAAGGCAGCGGCAAGTTGCTGGAAAGCCTGCGCTTCAAGACTATCCTAAACCTTAAACTTAAACGTCACACCACTTACACGTCATGACATGCTAAGTAGGAACAGGCGGTATGGCTGGACGTTCTCGTGCGGAACTCTGCAAACTTCCGAGTTTTGTCAGTTCGGCAAGCACCAAAGGAACACCAAGGATCATGAATCACCTTGGCACCCCTCCACCACCCACCGCACCACCCACCTTGACGTTGGTGGCACCCGCCCGGCTGAGCAGGTTCGTGATTCGAGCCACCGTCCCACTCCAGAATCCATTCCCTCGGACCTGTCGGGAGGCAGAAGCATGCAGAAGCAACCGGGCTACTTTGCCACGACTCTGGCTTGCTGAGTTTACCCCGCTGACCTTCAGCTTCTGGAACGCAAGGTTCAGATCGCTCTCCTCGCTGAACCTCAAACTGGTGACGCCGTTCTCCTTGACGACTGAGGCTGAGAGCGCAAGCATGGGCAGAGCCGAGTCTTTTGACGTTGCATTGAAAGACACGTGGTTGAAGGATGTAATCGGCATGCCAGGAAGAGACATCTTCACGCCCTGCAGTTCACCGTTGAGCACCGTGTCGGGCAGCACTCGGACGTCGATCTCCGCAGCACCCACGGGCTTCCTGAGGCCGAGCTTCACAACGGCTTGCAGTTCGTCAAGGCCTTCAATGGCCACAAGGGCCTCACCAGGAAGCTTCGACCACCTTGGAATCACTGACGGGCGCACAAGGGACTGTTCTCTCAGACTGGTCTCTAACGAACGCAAGGTGGGGGTTTACGAACATTGGGGGAACCTCACTTGCGGGTCCTTATGATAAGGGGATCGTACTACTTGGGGATCTTTTCTAGGGGGTCCTTTCTGATCGTATGCGCCCCATGTGCAGCCATGTCAGAGATGCTGCTTACGCAGGGCAAACTGGGGCGGCAGCACTTTGGATAAGTCGAGGTTGATCTTTAAGACAGCCGGCTCCGGGGCAAATTCCTTGACCTCACGGCATGCCTTCGAGTCGTGCCAGTGGATTGCCGGGCCGTCCACTGGGCCGTCCACGACGTCCGGCTGACTCCTCTCCTCCTTGCTCAGCCGCGCGGCCCAGCTAAGGCGCGCAAGGCCGAGAAGGCAACAGAACCTTATAAGGAGCATGGCTTTGGCGGACAAGTCGGCTGTTTGGGAGAAAAAACGGCAGTGGAACCAAAGAGGCCCCTCCTTGGGCAAAGGCCGAGTGCATCCCGAGGCTTGCAGAGAAAACGAAGCTCATCTTTGAGTCCCTCTTGTGCTCTCTGGTGACAAGAGTTGTTTGGGGAGTTCGAGAGCCGAATCTCCATCAACAGAAAGACTTTGTTGTGATTTGTTTTGTTTTGTTTTGTTGGGAGTTTGTGTTGTCTTTGGTCATTCTTTGTTAGCATTGTCTTTTTGGGGCATCAAGATCCCGCACACAGGGCGCTTGCCGGAGTCGTGTTGACTGACGCCGACGACTAACTAGTAGGAATGTTCGAAAACCAAGTTTCCACTCAGAGTGGAAAGCCTCTGCGCCTCTCTGAGTGGGATACATCTCTGTCAGCTTTAACACGAGCTGCGTGTGAACGTCCGGTGTTGCATGTTTTGAAGCTGAAATTTACACCACAATGTTCAATGTTCGATGGGGGGCATGATGTATGCGAAGGGCACTGATATCTCTTTGGTCGGAGAACAAGTCCAGAGGTTTCTGGCAGAAAAAAAAAAAAGGAGACATCCCACCATGCAGTGGAGCGCCAAAGCCTTACACCGCGACTCCACCCTCAAATGCCCAAAGAATCCTTTCAACTCGAGCTCTCAACAAACATCCCCAAAACCACTCCGTGAACCCTCAGGGCCCTAAGAAAACGTCGCGTGGCCTGAACAAGGCTGCAGAAGCTCCACCGAATCTGGTACCTGGCTCGTAGCATGGTTTGTAGCGGTAGGGGGCTTCTGGCTTGCAGTGCCTATCCGTCTGCTATCCGTTTAACCCTCCGTCCGTTGACGTAGTACAAAAACAAACAAGCCTTCACCCTAAACAGAACTTCATCGGACACCTATAGACCCGCAGAGTTTGCAGAGTTAGGGTTCAAGGTTGAAAGGGTTTTGAAAGGAATTTGGGACTCCAATAAGCCCCAAACCTCGGTCCCACCCTCCCAAGGCCCTTGAAATTGAAAAAGGGTGCTCCAGAGGAATGGATGCTTTGAAGGGGCCTAGCGGCTTTGCAGCTCAGAAAATGTCGGCGACACGACGTCGAAGCACGCCCCTCATATGCCAGCTTGGCAAGAACCCTCTCCACTCCCTAAATCTCTCACGTTTCAAAAGATGGAAAAAAACCCTTACATTCCAGGGGGATTCTCGAGGTTTGGGGCCAGATCAGAACTCGTCCCCCATGGCCTGTCGGTGTTGCGGCCACTCCACCATGGGCGGGCAAGCGGTTGGCGCCAGGGGCCACGACGCACACCAGGAACCCCGATCCCCGAACACGACGCTCTGTCGTCGGAGCCTTCGTCTGAGCCTCCAACCGACGGCTCAAGAGCTAATCAAGAGGCACTCAAAGGGGGCACTCAAAGAACTGTTCAAGGGGGCACTCAAGGGGCCATTGGGGTGGCAGCTCAGCTTTGTGGTCAAAAGACTTGGCTGCTTCTGAGTGTTCAAATAAGTCTTGCTTTTCATGCTTACATGACTTTAAGGCCCCTTGTACCCTATCTGCCTACGCTATAAACCTGAAACACGAAATATATGGCATGCAACATACAGATACTACATATTTATGTATGCGAGGATATGTAAAATACATAGCAAAGTAGGGTCGGTACTCTTGTATACATGACAAAGCGTGTGTATGTTTGTGCATCATTTGTGAAGACATGTGAAGACATGTGAAGACATGTGAAGACATGCGTTGTACGACTTTGCTCACCCCAGGATGGCACTGACGGCATTTTCCTTCACACGCAACTAGCTCGTCTCTGATGCGCCTTTTATTCCCATGTACCGTTTTCCCAGTGAAAATGCAAGACCAGGGTATGTCTTTAAATGTTCACAATGATTCCCAATCTACTCCAAAATTACAATCGTCACACCGAATTGCCAATACCCACAACACAGACGCAACATAGGAATTCGGATGGGCATTGACCGGCTACCAACAAGCACACGTTCATGCTTGCATGGAGTCGAGTGCATACGAAATGGCATCCCAATTCACAACGAAACTGCAAGATGGAAACTGACATGACCTAAGATGCACGACGCACATTTCTTTTTGTCAGGCTCGCCCCGGGTGCATGGGGAGAATCCGTGTTTCGAAGCTAAGTTCGGGAGATGTCCCACTGCACACAGTGCAAACCAACGGTGAGCACTTCGGAACATCCTAATGCATGCAACGTCACGTGTTGCACGTTCCGTGTTTCGAAGCTAAGTTCGGGAGATGTCCCACTGCGCAAATGTGCACACCAACGGTAAGCACTTCGGAACATCCTAATGCATGCAACGTCACGTGTTGCACATTCTCTTCGTTCCCCGGGCTGGGAGAGCGGGTTAAATTCAAGATTTGTGACCACCGGCTCCGTGCTTGAGAGACACATCAAGCGGGCATTCAAACTTGGGATCATGAGGAGACATGTCATGCAATTGACAAAACATGCAGGTGAAAACGCTCCACAAAAACTCAAGGTCCGTGGAATTCCACAATAAATCAACATCCCAAAATCTCCACAAAAAATCCATAGATTTTGGGAGGATATTGGTCAGGATGTGTAGACACGGCCTCGTGCGCTGACGCATGAACTCTGAGGAGTGCTGCCGCTGTGGAAAGCGCTGACAGCTTCACGTGCCCCAACGACTTCTTTGGGATCCACATGAGCGGTGAAGCCCCCTTAAGGTAGTTGAGTGCTGGGCTGCAGATGTGTTTCACTTCCAACTGTGTATGGGCATCATTGTAACGTGATGTTGGTATGCTTTCTAGAGCTGGCTTGCGTAGAGCTTCACGAGCGCAATCACAGGTTTCCGCGCATCCACGGGCATGTGAATGAGCTGAAATCTTTGCAATTCCACATGCTTGACAGAGGACAGCGCGCTTAAAACAAAACTGGCAACACAACTAAAAAGCCTGAGTGCCAAGCTCTATCACTTCGGCTTCTATGATCGGTGCCGTTTAGCCCTGAACAGCCAAGTCATGAGCATAGGCTGGGCGTAACTGCTGAGGGGCGCAAGGATCAAGAGGACATGGCTCCAGCATCTGCAACCACAAGCACATCGCTGCAAGCAAACTCCCTCCGTTCTTGGATCCAGGCATTGGGCGGCTGCTCGATTACAGCTCCAAGAAAGACCTTACTCAGAGGCTGGCTCGTAGGGTTCGTGGGTGCCCTGAACAGCGTAGTTCAAAATGTGGCTACCCAATCATAACCCAACTTACAACTCCCCAGCCGCATGCAAACTGGGTTCAAGCAGCGCGCGGACAGACATGCTGGGAACCAGGCTGTCGTGTCGGCATGCAGCAGCGGGGATTCCATGTTTCTTAACTTTTGGCTCTACTTGGTCGAGCAGGTCCCAACCCTCCCCAGCTGCACTGCACGAACTTGCACGAACTGAAAAGTTGTTGGCTGAGTCCTAGAGACCCTAAATCCTACACGTTCATCACCCCAAGATTCTTCAACCTTTGCCACTTGCCCAGGGCCGAACCCGTCTACGATGTCGCATGCTGGGAGGTCTCTGCTCTGAGCAACATGAGACAGAATCTCCCAGGTGTTCATAAGGAAGGAGCTAGGCGCCTCAGCGAAAGGAACCCAACCCAAAGAAACCACCCTGCAATCGCGCTCTTTCCCCGGGGCATCACCGCTTGCACCAAGTCTGCAAGAAGGCCCCGGCGCGCGAGGATGAAGGGAGTCTTCTGTCCAGGCAGTCCAGAAGCAGCGCTCGTCGCGGCGCCGCCAACTTTGCGAGGCAAGGTCTATGACTCCAGAGACTGTATTCCTTGATGTAAGCAGTTCACCATCTCTCTCAGCATCCGTGACTCTGGCCCGGACTAGGCGTCCCTTGCCTTCGATCCTTGATGGCTTCAGGGGCCCATTCCGCCAGCTGTGCTGCTCGAGTCGTCCCATGGTGCCAGGTTTCTGCACGTTCTACGGGTGGAACGTCGCGCCGATTTCAACTGTTCAGCAGGAGCACATTGACATGAAGGCAATGCACATATCATTCAGAGAACTGAAGCAGACGGCGGGCGTATCGTTATAGGATTCCCAGAACTCTTTCCAGCCATCGTCTGGTGAACCAGTCTCCAAATACGAGTATTCTGTGCATAGCAGATTGACCTCCTGCCGGTGAACGGTCAGCTCGCACGTCTCTACGCCATATTCCACCCACTGCTCCGCAGACAAAGGTTCCTCGTAGCGCAACGCCCAGCGCCTCGCAAGCCAAGTCATGTTGGATTGAAGCCCAATTAGACTGCTGCAGTTACAATGAGGCCACGGCAGGGGTGAACGGACTGACGTTGTACGAACTTACAGCGTGCTTAGGCCAAAAAGCCTTAAAATCAACAGCCGAACGTCTCTGGTTAGGTAATGCTGGTCGTGTTGGAAACGGCAGCGACGCTGTGTGGACTTTATTGAGAGTTGCGATCGCAGGCTGACCCACTTGTTCATTACATTCTTTGGAGGTTGAAAGAATGTATGTGTTTTGAGCCATTGACATTCTGCATTGTCCAGCATCCCCTCAAGAGATGGTTGATGCATGTTGTCAATGTGTGTTCCACTAGCCTTTTCTGGAGTTGGTCTGAGTACTGAAACGATCCATAAGGTGATTGCTTGTGGGATAGCTTTACCGATTTGGGAGCTTATCAAGCGAGCTTTGTGAGAAGTGTCACAACATGTCGGATGAAGGATAACCCGGCCGATCGCCTTTACCACGTGTGAAGTAGAGGGAGCATAGGCCCGCGGCATTGCACGGAGTGCTTGAAGTGGGGAGCTGCTGGTACGCGGCGACTTACAGCCTTATGGCTCAAGCGCGGATGACACGCAAAATCGAGGGCCGGGGTCTTGAGGGATGGTGCGGGGTTTCCGTTGGGTTCCCTGAGTCCTCCTTCCTTGTATTCCCTTGGGGGTTCCTGTAGGTGAGGAGCGGTCGTTTGTTTTAAACTTTTGGGGTGTTTCAGGGCTGCATGGCAGCCCCAGCACGAAAAAGAATCCCGCCGCGCACTTGCCTATGAGGCGACTATCCCAAACGCACCTGGCGCGCAGCACCCAATATACTCGTATGTTTTCACGAAGGGTTTAGGGGTTTGTGACGAATTGTGCCGTGTCAGACTGTTCACCCCTTCCGTACACTACATTACAAGGAGACACTGCGACTTGGAAGCCTCTCCCGCGGCATGTGCAAGATCCGAGCCAGGGCCTGCAAGCGTCAGGCTGCCGCAGGCGCGCATCTAAGGCTTCTACCTTGGACCCTTCAATAAGGTTATACCCTTGGGTTTTGGCGTCCCTTTCTAAGGATCCCAAAGGGTATATAAGGGCCATATTAGGAGGACACCTTTAGGAGTACAACCTTAGGGCTACGAGTCATCATCCCTCGAACGCACCCTACCAGTAAACCCGAAAGCGCCCGCACCTCTGTCGGAGGCTGCCGACGGGTGGCCCAGAGTCTCCCAGAATCTTGAGCCTTGGCCCAAACATGTCCTGGTGTAACTGAGGGTTTAGGGTTTAGGGGGTGAGGGGTTAGGGTTTAGGGGTTTAGGGGAAACACCTGCACCTCAAACCCAGCTTGTCTAGGTCACCTAGGCTGCTGAAATTATGGCCGAGCATCAGGAAGAAAGTGAGACACTCGTTCCCAGCACCTTGGGCTTTGCAACATCCAATACCATGCCCATCCTACCCTCACTATTTAGACCCTAGACCCCAAGCCCCAGACCCTAAACCCTAAACCCGAAACCCACCCTAAACCCGAAACCCTAAACCTACGCAGCCAGGCAGCTCATCAAGCAAGGCACCGCCACTCTCGCCGATCTCAGATGCCTCCACTCAGTCCAGCCAGGCCACGGCACGTTGCGAACTGGATCGTTTTAATTGCAATGTTACAGTATCAATATAGATTCATAGTACTTCTACAATATCAATATAGTATTGTTTTCGATGATCAACAAGCATCCTAAGAAAATGGACCCGACTGTAATTAGGATCGGAACCAGCAGCAAAATTCGAAAGAGAATTCACGAGTCTGCCTCAAACCTTTTCAGGATGTCCATACGGCAAGCGTGGACGTCAGCGGAGCATGGCACATCAGCCTCAACACAGAGGAGCAAGAACCCATAACCCTAAACCCTAAACCTTAACCCCTAAACATGAAGCAGGCGCAGCCTCCGAAGGACAGTCGGTGGATGGAGTTGCTCCCATAGCCTGCCTGCAGGTCCACACCACACAGTCATAAACAGTACCAAGCTCTTGAATATGAAACGGCAACTGAAACTTTGAGGCCTCATGCCATCAAGGCCGTTCTCAGTGTCCACCACTTCAAGCACTTCCTGCTGTGCAGAAGATTCAGAATGGCTCCTTCAAACAGCATTCTGGCCCACACCAGGACAGGCCTCATCTTGCGCGGAAGCACAGGCCTGGATGGCGTGACAACGTTGGGGGACAAATTAAATGAAAGTCGCTACTAGCCCAGGGGGCCTGGAAGCTCAGAAAACTGAAGAAGTCGCTGATCATCATCATGGGCATGGTTCTGCAGCTGTGCCCCTTTAGCTCAACTGATTCAACACTCGCCGGCGAACTGTGAGCACCCTTCAGAAACACATTGATCCTGCCTGATTGTGCAAAGTTGCGTTTACGCCAACCTCGCCTGAACCCCCAACTATAATGATACGATATTGATACTATAACTCTACTATGGCATTGAGACTAAAATATTCGTATAATTATCATATAATTCCTGTAATACCTCAAACCTGGTCGAGTTGGGAGCCAGAGCAGCTCCGGCCAAGCACACTTTGATTGACCTGAAAAGATACCTTGAAGCGTGATGCCCCGCTTCTTGACGGAGCTACGTGCTTGGCTTGCCAAGAGGGATCGGCATTCTGACAACCCCATGATGCAGCAACATGACGCATGATGAACGATGGCTGTCTGTTTGTGAGTCAGTGTGTGCCTGTGTGTCTGTGTGTCTACGTGTCTGAGTCTATGCGTGTCCGTGTGTCTACGTGCGTCTGTGTTTCTACGTGTGTCTGCGTGTCTACGTGTGTCTGTGTTTCTACGTGTGTCCGTGTGTCTACGTGTGTCTGTGTTTCTACGTGTGTCCGTGTGTCTACGTGTCTCTGCGTGTCTACGTGTGTCTGCGGCTGTCTGCGTATCAACATTTCGAATTGTTGCGATGTTATCTCTGGGTGGCCTGAAGGCTGTTGTGAAACAGAGGGGGTTGCAGCTCTCGCTGCATCTAGAAGGGCTCAAAACAAATTAGGGGGGCTTCGGTTAAGGTCCCCTGCAAGTGAGCAACAGCCAGGATCGTACCATTTTGGCTTTGGGGTTACTTTTTGCAGAATCCCTTTTTGGGTATTGTCGAATCATCGGCTTCCGTCATGTTTAGGCCGGACTACCTCTCTCTAGCCGGGCTATCCGGTTCGGTCAAGCCCTGCGATTTTGACGGTCGCTTCTGATGCAAATCCAATCACTTTCAGGGGGCATTGTGAGGAATGTTATCCGCCGACCGCCAACGGGTCGGCATCCGCGAAGTCTTTGTCTCGTGCCCCTCGCATCCCACCACCTCATTTCGCCCTGGCGCATCAAAAAGCAGCACCCCGCGCCCCTGCTCCCTCTACTAAGCGCGGGTAAGAAGGGATAAAACGCCTCTCCCACCCCCTACCCCACCCAAACCCCCAACCCACTGACCATTTGCAGGAAATGTTAAAGAAGCAAAACTGCCCAACCCCCCCTCCCCCCGCACCTGGTCAAGTAAGGCGCAGCTGCACCCACGCCACACATACATCTAGCCACCCCAAACGCACCCCTACCTGACCGTCGGAAATGTTACTTGTACAGAGGCTCCAATTGTCTGGGTCTCCGCCGCTGCCCAATTTTTTGGACAAGGGTTGGAAAAGGAGTGCAGGTGGCTGGTTCGGGCGGCCAGGGTGTGCAAGCTTTGAGCAAGTTACATACATGTGTAGAAACCTATTTAGATGTTTTGATATCCATATGTATGTACTTGTATCGCTTACCATACAAGTGCCTACCCGTTTTGACATCCCTTTGCTCCGGCGTCATGCAAAAATCATTTGGCCCGTTCGCTCACAGCTCTGGAACATGCCGCTGGAGCAAATGCACGCGGTGCTTTGCACGGCGGCTGCCCAGCAGGCTGGGTACTAGAAAGAAACCACACAGATCGATACAGACCGTATGCCTCTGTCACTTGCATCCAAGAGCTATGTTCTGTCACACGTCGCTGATGAGAAGAGAGACAGAGACAGGTCTGCTAGCGACCGTGGGGCGCGGTCAGAACTGACCTTGCTATGATGTTTTTTTTTAAGCGGGCGCCTCTTTACTACATCAGTAGCACAGTAGGCCGTTCTTGTGGGTCGAGTCGGAGGTGAGAACACACGACTCAGGGTGAGACAGACCACTGCTTAGAGAGTCCAAACTGTACAAGCTAGCGAGCGTAAAAGAAGTCGTGACTACAAAGCAGCAACCGCTAGCGCAGAGGCCCCTATTGCAAGACAACTTAACACAAGGCCAGCAAGGTGAGACCAATGCAAACAAGAACCTACCGGCACCAAACTCAGCTGCCCGTCACCCATAGCAATGCTGCGCCACGTCTGGTACAGACATTAAGCGAAAGTAAGGGTAGGCCGTAAGGCAAGGAACCTCCGTCACCTAAACTGCTCAACGCGTCCGTAGAGACAGTCCCCACACAAGCGCCAGGGCCGTAGCAAAAGCATAGCACTCAGGACTCCTTTTGGGTTGACAAGAAAGTTGCAAGCACACTGAACGCGCGCAAAGGCACAATGCACACAGAGTGCCAGAAAGGGCGCCCCCTCCCCCCCCGGCGAGCGGGGGCAGGCAAGGGGCTGGTGTGGCTACACAATGCTGCCATCGGCGCTATGTGAGTCCGGGCGTCCTCACATAGCTACTAGGGGAGTACCCTATTTGGAGGCTCCTTGTGTTTGCGCCGAAAGTTTTGAGGCTCGACCTCATGGCCATAGGGCGGGCCTGGAGCGCTGCTTGCAAGAGGCCATATTCTTACAGCCCCGCGCAGCGGCCAATTTTTGAGACGGCACAAGAGCCCCAAAGGCTGCTGGCTGGCGCTTGGCTCATGTGCTTCCCAGGTACCGGGAGCCTATCGGCTTGGCATGCTTAGCCTGGTGACGTAGCGCCTGGAAGCCTCCGAAAGCTGAAACACTGCTGGGCCTCCCGGGAAAGTTTTAGGCAGCAGTTAGAAAGACCTGATAGCTTCTGGGCCTTCCAGAGAAGGTTTCAGCAGTTTGCGCAAAGAACAGGCGGCGTTCAACAGCATAGCTGCGCTGTTTACAGCTACCGTGCACCGCCATTTTGCCAGACAACCCAAATCTGCCGGATTGGCGCGAGTTTTTTGATGAGGCAGGACTCACTCGGTAGAATGATTGCACAGGTCCGCTCACGGTCTCCCCCTGCAGTGCAAGTATCAGGCCGCGCGCAGCGCGGAGCTCGGAGCAGTTTAAGGCCCCCAAGGCCGCTTAACGGTCTGCAGCCAACCGCGCGTCAAGTGTGAGAGTCAAGGCGCCTTATAACTCGGAGCCCCGCGCAGCGGCCGGTTTTTGCGGAGAGCACGTCAAGCAGGTTTACCCCGTGACTACACCTGATGCGGGACCCACAGCAAAGTGTTAGGCCTAATCACTTCTGGGCCTGCTGGAGAAGGTTGAAGCAGCAGTTTCTCACATCCCTTCTGGGCCTTCTGGCGAAGGTTCCGGCAGCCGTTTGCGGGGCCTAATCACTCCTGGGTCTTCTGGAGGAGGTCTACTCACTGCTGGGCCTTCCGGAGAAGTTTTAGGCAGCAGTTTGAGAGGCCTAATCACTGCTGAGCCTTCCAGGGCGGGTTGAGGCAGCAGTTTGAGAAGCCTAATCACTTCTGGCTTCAGGCAACTGTTTGGGCAGCAGTTTGAGAGGCCTAATCATTCTGGGCCTTCTGAAGATGTTTGAGGCATCAGTTTGAGAGGTCTACCCACTGCTGAGCCTTCAGGAAAATTTTTGGGCAGCAGTTGGAGAGGCCGACTCACTGCTGGGCCTTCCGGAGAAGTTTCAGGCAGCAGTTTGAGAAGCCTAATCACTTCTGAGCCTTCCGGGAGGGCTGAGGCAACAGTTTGATAGGCCAAAGCACTTCTGGGCCTTCCGGAGGCGGTTTGGGCAGCAATTTGAGAGGCCTAATCACTCTGGGCCTTCTGGAGAAGACTTAGGCATCAGTTTGAGAAGCTTACTCCCTTATCGCAGAGGCCGTAACGAGCAGGGTGTGTCCATCGTGCTGCGCAAGATAGACCAGCAGATGTCCGTTGTCTTCGGCACTTTAAGGGAGTGGCGCTGTCCATGAGCCATGGCGTTTGTTAACAGGGCCGCACCGGATTGCAGGCCGATTACAGCGATGACGCACTTGTGGCAAGGAGTGCCCCCGCCAGGCACCCCTCCAGCATGAACAGGCTGGTTCCTGCCGGTTGTTCCAGGCACTTTTCCACCAGAACCCGGAGTGTCCCTGCCGGGTAAGAACTGACACGACGAGGCCTCCGCCCTATGCTGCGACTAGCACTGTCACAAGGGTGAGGGGCAGACCAGAAACCTAAGCAGCAAACCAAAACCCTAAATGCAGACTCCTGCACACCCGCTGACTGCCACCACGCACAGAGCTGCACACAGACGAGCCCGCCAGGCTGATCAACAAGACGCCTTCGCGGAGCCCCGCAGCGCTAGGTGCATAATAGGCAAGTGGGCGTAAGGGAGCATTTTGAGGAAAGGGAATGCTACTAAAGGACAATTTAACACTACACCTCAGCGAACCCAGCACGCTTGCACCGAATGGCAAAGCCGTTCGGTTGTTAATCGCCTTTGGTTTCCTCCTACACCCAAAACGCAGGACAACGTGCAGAATTGCGTTTCAGACAGACGCATGAGTTGTGACTCACACAGACGCATGAGGCTTGCGCAGTGTGTGCAAAACGACAGTATTAAGCCTGCAACAACCCGCCTGGCACGCTAGGGGAAAGTGCCCGACAAGACCTGGGCATGGACCTGGGCACCTCGAGCCTGTGCACCTTGCACGGGTGGGAGAGGCAGGCTTGCTGCTGGGTAGGGCAGTTATTCGCATCAACAGGCAAAGGGCTGGTGTAAGCCACACAGTGAGCAGCACAGCCCTTACGCATGCAGTGGCTGGTATAGCCACACAGCAAGCAGCACAGCCACCGCACGCGAACTGGATGCATCGAAGGCCTAAACCTTTGCTGCGTTCTCGCTCTTACTAGCAGACAAAGGCCAGCGCAATGCGCAAAGCACTTCCTTGGCGTTCTCGCTCTTACTAACCAAGGGACGCGCACAAACAGACAAACCCCCACCTTTACCAAGCGTACTTCACTAAGCGTACTTCACTGTTGCAAAAAGTTGATATGCTGCACGAGCGGGAGAGGCAGGCTTGCTGCTGGGTGTCGGGCGCGGTTATTCGCATCAACAGGCAAAGGGCTGGTGTTAGCTCACACAGTGAGCAGTACAGCCCT